CTACTACTACTACTACTACCTATGATTGCAAAGTTCGTTGTTCCAAATTCGGTACAGTTCTTAGTCTACTTAAACATTGCCATCGTAGTGTCGTCTCGTCGTTTTGTCTACTGCCGCTCTCCTTGATGATCATGGTGATGATGACGACGACGATGATGATGACGATGAGTTGCCGGTGGTGTACTAATGTTGATGTTGACACGGTTGTTGTTGGTGTTGCTGTTGCTCGAACTTTGAGGATTCTTCAGTGACGGTGAGGGTTCACGAGCCTGCGTCTGAGCTTCACGGCTAAACAAAAAGCTGAAACAAAAGAATTGCTGAGTCAAAGTTCGATCGGCATACCCAGAGGCTACACACTTTGCAACTCAAACTACAGAGGAAGTCTCACTACCATGTAAGGTGTACTCCTGAAACAGCATGTTTTGGAATCCCTGGCTACGTACCCTAAACCCCTAAGACCCCTTGAATGACAAACCCTTCTCCCTAAACCCTAAACCCAAACCCCTTCAAGGATTCAAGGGAGCCCTTTAAAGGAGAGGGTCATATAGAGGGGTGAAGACTTACCCATAGTATCCTTGGACCTCCTTATTGAAGTTAGAATATATACTATGCCCATAACCCTAGAAGTCACAGAAACCACATCATCAGGACGATCGCCATGGTAAGGAGGTAGTGCTGCCACCTTTCAGAACTAGTTCAGGGCTTAGGGTGTAGTGTCAAGGTTTGAGATTGAGGGTTCAGGATTTAGGATTTAGGGCTTAGGGTCTAGGATTTAGGGTAGGGTGAACCCACTCGACTTGGAAGCAAACACAAGCTCATATACTCGGAGCTAGGATATATAAACTTGAACATAGGTCTCGCAGCCGCGCACGTGCGTCGGTAGGTGGGTATGTCGGTAGGTAGGTAGGTAGGTAGGTAGGTAGGTAGGTAGGTAGGTAGGTAGGTAGGTAGGTAGGTCGGTCGGTCGGTCGGTCGGTCGGTCGGTCGGTCGGTGGGTCGGTGGTGGGTGGGTAGGTAGGTAGCGTAGGTAGGAACTGGTGCCGAGCTTGTTGAAGAGATGCATCGGGAAAACGACAGCGCCAACGCCAGATCTCAACCCCCCTAAGACCTAAATCCCAGAGGCACCTGCTCTGTCTTCGTGTGGCGCATCGCTCACAGACGAAGACCAGGAAAACCAACAAAGCAGGAAACCAGAGCACAGGCAAGGCGAGGATGGTGCCTAGTCTGACAAAAAGGAAACTACAGGTGGGGAGTGTAGGGTATATAGGGTTTAGGGTTTAGGGTATATAGGGTTTAGGGTATATAGGGCTTCTATAAGGCTCCTATAAGGTATATGACCTTCTATAAGGCTCCTATAACGGTAACTACCCACCTAAAAATGTCCTCGGCTTAGGGTTTCGGTTTCTCGGTTTATTTAGGGGCTTAGGGTCTACACTTTACAGCTTAGAGATTAGGGTTCAGGATTTAGGGCTTATGAGGCTTAGGGTTTAGAGCTTACGGTTTAGCGTTTCGGGTAATCTGATAAGCAGGCAAAAGGTGCCCCTTAAGATTGTTTGGGACCTTGATATGACCCGCGAAACTGGACCCTAATCCCTACGAGAACACTTTTTTGCAACAACTTCAAACTGTCGAGCTTCTATAGTGCCCAAGTGCTCTGGGTTGCCTAAATAGTAGGTTGCTTTTACTACTACTAGCCATATATCTTGTACCCCAGAAACCTAACCCTAAACCCTAAACCAGTATTGTTTAGGGAACAGGAGCTCTAGTTGTCGACGTTGATCTTCCGGCATTTTCGTTCAGAGTTTTCGGATCTCCGTGTCGGGGGTCCTTGCTGCGATTCAGAGCTGGAGACTCTATAAGGTTGAAACTAGGGGCCTAAATAACGGGGCAGACTAAATTTTAAAGGCAATCGACTCATATTTTCCGAATTACGTATTTGTAGGCCCCTATGTCAGGCGCGCTATCGCGAATTCGCGGTGGTTGACGCTTAGTGCGTCGCTGGTGCGTATGCCTTTGGTGTTTTCCTTCTCCCCTGAGAGATACCCACGAAAGGTACGGTCCAGGTTTCAGAATACCGCACTTCTCAGACATGCCGGGACGCTCAAGCTGTATGCGAGGATATTCTGCGTGGGCACACCGTCGTTCTTCAGCAAGGCTAGCAGCCCTTCTAGGCACAGACTCGTGAGAGGGGTGGCCAAAACGCAGATATAGCCGAAGGGGATGCTGCCCGGGGTGCGCAGAGGACCCAGGACATCCTCACGGAAGGGGCCGCGCACATACTCGGAGAAGGCGTCTAAGCTGCCATACCAGCTCACAATGGCTGCATGGATCCGTACTCTGTCAGAGTCAACGAGGCACTCCACATTTCTCACATCGAAAGTGTCCAGGCTGGAAATCAGGATCTTTTTCGAAAGGTAGCTGTGCCGCAATGAGTGGATCAAGGGAACGGCCAGGCACCCGATGACCAGCAGTGCGAAGAGCACGAAGCCGGACAGTTCCATGCGGCCCGATCTCAGGACCCTGGAATACCAAAACCCAGATGTCAAAGCCTCCAGCCACAGGAAAATCTGAAGGGTGATGCGTTCGATGAACCTGGCGTCTTTTCTGAAGCATCCTACGCACACAAAAAGTACATTACAATGCCTGCCGGAAGGCTAGAGGCTCGAGAAACATGGACAAGGATGCGTACCCTAACCCCTAAACCCTAAACCCTAAGCCCTAAACCCTAAACCCTAAGCCCTAAACCCTAAGCCCTAAACCCTAAGCCCTAAACCCTAAACCCTAAAGAGCCAAGGAGCAGAGGAGAGAGGATAATCTTGCCGGTGGGGTTCACTTTGCGGTAGGCTGCCAGTTCGAAGACACACCACAGCCTCTAGTCTCTAGTAGTAGTGGCCCAGGGTAGATGCATGGGTTTAGGGTTTAGGGGTTGAGGGTTTAGGGTTTAGGGCCCAGGGTAGATGCATGAGTTCTCTGTAACTCCGTGCAGTTGAAGGCCTGTGGTGCGCATGTTCTTCAACCTATATCTCCAATAGCAAACCCTGCCAAAGAGCAGCTTTGTTATGATCCCGTACGTATAAAGGCTATACAACTAATTACTAGAATACGGTTGATGATATAAATCCTGCATTACCCATAAGAAGGAATATACCATAATTCCCATAGCTGAGGGTCCTGAAGGTAATGCAGGATTTATATCATCAACCGCGCAGCCCGTAAACAGAACACACCTCCAACCCAAGCCAGAGAGCCCGAGACTCTGCAATGATATGAACTTATTCATGTAGCTGCATTAGCGTTTAGGGTTTATAGGGTTTAGGGTTTAGGGTTACTACAATAACTCGGAATAGCAAGGCCGAAAAGCTTTAAGGTACGTTAACAAAAGGGTCACACCTTTCCAGGACCGTCTCTGTACCCCCAAACACTGGTATGGCTCCCAACAACCGGCAGTTTAAGGCATGGTTCAGGGCAGATCGAGCGTCTAGGCAACTAGACCCTAAACCGTCAAACCCCAAAGCCTAACCTTTTGTTGGCGGCCTTGTCTTGCTGTAGGACTCAAACCTTGCAGTGATTAGGCGATCCCGCTTCACAAAGGATCTCGAATTCAACGTCTAGAAACAACTTGAACTATCAAATCCGTCTGGTCTGAGTATCACTGGAAGTCTTCATTACTCCTCGGGCTATAACCGCAAAAATCTTGAACACATCTAGTCTTAAATAAGAGTCTTAAACGCGTAGCACCGAAAGCCCTAGAGGACTCAACAACAACTCTATGTATGTAAACTCTAAACACCAAGAGCCCCTAATTTTTAAATTGTTGTGCTTACTTATCTGTTGGTTGATTTAATTATCTACAAATCCCCAGAAAACAAATGGACCTGTAGGCCTCGAGAGGTAGGTGGAGCTCCACAGTACACGAAGCTCCTTTGATGCAGCCAGAAATCCTCCGATGTCGTTGATGCCTTACGAGTGGAGACTAGGGTTAAATCTCTAAAACCCTAAACCCTAAACCCCAAACCCTAAACCCCAAACCCTAAACCCTAAAGGTTTAGGCTGAGGAATCTGGGATTGAGTTTTTCCAGTACAGATGAATTGAAGTTAGGGTTAAAGGTCCCTGCGCGAGTTAAGGTTAAAGGCAACTATTCAGGTTTGGGTTTAGGGTTTACTCAACGGAGCTCGGGTTAAAAATTCCAACAGTTTACAGGGAACACTTCTCAAGGCTTTCAGACATGTCTTTAAATCGCCATAAGCTATCAGGCTCTAAACGCGCGTGGCCTTGTTGCATTAGGACTTGGTCCACTTGATGTACGCAGGTGCAGTCGACGAAGGCCATATCTGACCTGCCGAAGATTGCCGAAGTCTTCATGCACCCGTAAGGAGCTCTAGTGGGGCTCCTCCTGAAGCATGCATGCATGGATGCATGTACGTGTGTACGTACATATATACATACATACATACATACATACATACATACATACATACATATATATATATATTTTCAGATATGTAGGTGTGTGTGTGCGTATGTGTGTCAATGTGCGTGTATATGTCTGTATGTGTATGTAGGCGTATGTCGATGTATGTATGTATGTATGTATGTATGTACGTATGCAAGTAAGTATGTATGTATGGATGTATGTATGTACGTATGCATGCTATGTACGTACGTATGTATGCATGCACGCATGCCTGCATGCCTGCATGTAGGTATGTAGGTATGTATGTATGTAGCTAGCTAGCTAGCTAGCTAGCTAGCTAGCTAGGTAGGTAGGTAGGTAGGTAGGTAGGTAGGTAGGTAGGTATATGCAAAGTGTATGTGTGCGTATGCATGCATGCATGCATGCATGCATGCATGCATGCATGCATGCATGCATGCATGCATGTACATATCATACATACATACATACATACATACATACATACATACATACATACATACATACATACATAT